TCACCTCGCCTGTATTTGCAAACAAAAGTGGCACTTAGTGTGCAATCCCGTCCACCCCTACAGGCTCCATTCTGCCAAATTTCTAAAATGCCTTAATGTCTTTGCTCTCCAACAGGCGTTCACTTTAGCACTCTTATCATCGGCGTTGGATAGAATGGAATTGCACGATATCACCAAAGACCTTCACCTTTCTACGATTGTTTTAATGTATGACTGCATAGATGTGCCATTTTATAGTGCACCACAAATTCCAATCTTAAAAGCATCCCTCGAGAATGCTCTGGCTTATGGAATGATTGTACCGATTCCAACAAGGGAGTTAAAAATCTTTGCCCATATCATAATGTACCAAGCGATTCACTCCTTCTAAGTGGCTAATTTTTGGCAAATTAAAGAGGTTGAAGCAAATTGTTCAAAATCATGGTTTGTTTCGCCAACTTTTAGTATTTTGTTGCAGCCATCAAATGTGTTCTGAGATAGAGTTTTAAGTTAGCATTATTTGTGTCGTTCATTTCGACTTTCCAATTACAGGTTGACTGCATGCTAGGAGTAGTGTCGATGCCCCTTCAACCTTGCCTTGACCGAGGGTGGTCTGACGGTGTTTTAGGGTCAGATGATGACTTTAATAACCTGTTTAGTTGGCCACGTTCGCGATAATTGCTTCCACCTCAGTCACCAAGGTCACAGTCGGAAGCCAACGCTCCCTCTCCCTTTCTCTTTTTCAATTACCTTCTTCTAACCTCATCAGAGTGTAATGCATACGACTAAATTTTATTGTGTTTGTTTTGATGCTTAAGCTTTGCGGTTATTTGCGCTTAAGGAGGGCATTTCGTCGTACCCAGCCTCTAGAGCTCTCCATTGAGCCTTTGGAAGGTCAAAATCACCTCATTTTATTTCCACCGAATATGCCGTTTCTATTCAAAAACGAAACCGTCTACTTATTATTTGCTTTTTTTCCAATGTTCAAACTAAAATTGGGCCATTTGTGTACGAATGTGGATGAATGCCAACACTGCCCATTGACTAGGGCCTTTCTGACTCATTGGATGTGTGCCAGACAATCTACAAACATTGTAGTGAAGGCTTTACTGATCGACTCCAGTTCAAAACTTCACTCGAATAAATTTGAAGTGGATTCAGTAAAAGTGCATTGTAATTTACTGACCAGTTTGCTGTGGATCGTAGTTATGCAGGGCAGCAACTATGGACTCCTTACGGCTAAGGATTCGCCTCAGCAGCATGCGATAAGCAGCGTCGTTTGAGTTTCTACAGCCAAAGAAAAAATTGCATCGACTTTAACCCTTGGAGCATGTTGGTTAGGATACTATCCCAAAGCATGACTTCCAATAATGTTTACCGGTTTCCTTGAAGAGATTGTTGCTTATTCGATCGTCCTGCTTTAAAAGTCACCAGTCGCGGCATTAGAAGTGTTTCTACAATCCGTCTATGTCTACCTGATGTTTCCTCTCCGTTCTCCGGTGGCGTCAAAATTCGAGTATAAGTGATTCGAGGTGAGGTGTTAGTCGATGCAGTGCTGACAGCGCCTTCGTCGCCCACCGTAGGCGTCTGAGTGGTTGACAAGTCATCGAGTTCACACCTTGTCGGCTCCATTATACTAATCCGTGTCTCAGCACGAGGTGTACCCACTACGCGCTTGGAGGAGAGTTGGACAAAGGCGCCGAGGTTGCTGTCCGTTCCGTAGTAGTTGGAGGCAGAGAACACGGTCAGGACCTAAGTAGGTGGAACAATTTGCCCCAGCGCTCATTATATGTGCAAAAGCCAATTCGTTAAAATAAGATTCCTTTTCACTCAAAACACCATTTAGCGTTCGCGGTTGGTACTCTCTGCATCATGCCTCCTGCTGAGGTAAAAGTTATCCATTGTCTGCATCTAGCAAATTACTCTGTAATGATATTGAAGCCTAGACGGTTTGTTCAGCAGCCACTCTCTTAGCAAGGCAATTTTTAGATTCGAAACGACTAAGTTACCTGTACTACTTCGTCATCCAGGTTGAATTAACTGCAGCAACAGCCCCGATCTTACCTCGAGATCACCCTTCATCAAAGTGAATTGATTTACAGAGAAATTAGTCTCGCCCGAGGGTTTTACTGTGACAGATCCTTAAAAATTTCTTCTCCCTAGTTTTATCATGCATATTCAATTGTTGCGCGATGTCATTCCACTTGTTCCCACCATCATTTTGCATGTGAACGCTTTTGTACCCTCCTTCCATCGAATGGTGGCAATTAAAGTTGATTTGCATCTGAGTACATGGTTTAGTTGTCTTAGCTATCAGCAACTTTGTATGTAGGCTACCATGCTCTACATCAAATTCTTCACCCCGCTTTTATTACACACTTAATTTCTGGCAAAACCAGGAATAGGCATGCTTCATTTCAAACCTGATTGTTGTGATCCATCTTCCAGCCGTTGGGACAGCACTCGTGTGAGCGTATAAGGACACCAACTTTTAGGTGAGTGAGGAGGTTGGCAGTGATGTCTGGGCCGAAGTGACTTCCTCCGCCACGTTTGATGTTCGGTTTGCATCCGGGTGCCGACTGAGGATCGCTCCATAAGATGTCAAGAACCTAGGATGAAACATTAGTCCCGCATCATTTTGCTATCGAATCGGTGCGATCCCTAAGCAGCAGATGCGACGACTACTCCAGAAGTATGAAAGTTTAGAACAGGTTGAACGAATAACAATTATTCAGAGGGTTATCCCGTGGCCCAACCTTTACCACAACAGACGACTTCTCTTATTTCTGTTAATGAATAGTAAACAGTGAAACAGATGAAGGATGCGAGAAGCTGTGGCGACCGTTGCCAGAGGAGCCAAAAATAACGTCTAACTTCAACAACCAACTTGTGCTTACATATATGACGAACGACGCTATGCGATAATCATCGAAAAATATTGCCCTACACAATACCACGGACGCTGAAAACAGAGGATTTGTTCTCAACTTTACCACTAGCCGTATGGGACAAGGCAAGACGTATTCAGGTAGCGATGGATAAAAGGACGAAGGTGTAATGACAAAAGGCACAAAACCTTATGATGAAAGGATTATGCTAACTCAGTCTGCATTTAGCGTTTTGATGAGTAGCGATGATAATGCGTTAGAGTCAGCACGTTCTCTCATCCCACAGTGAAGTCCTCCCACTGGACGAAATTTTATGCTCAA